TCTGTCTCTGGGGGTCTCTGTTACCCCTTTCTGCTTAATAAGCACATTTTAAAATGTATCATTAGATCTTTCTATAACTGTTTTGTAGGTTTGTGCGGTATACCTGTAAGATGCTTTATGATGTAATAAGTAAAAAACTGTTTCATTTTCCCTTGTTCATCTGCATTCATTAGTCTAATGTCAGTCTTTGTCACACCTTCTGCATACTCCAGAAGGCAGAGACCTTCTTTTTTAATTATCTCCAGAAAAAAAAAAAAAAACATTGTTTCTAGGAATGCCTTGCCTACAATCCCTATTGAAATGACCTTGCTTGCCACAGCCAAGACATTTAACAGTTTGTCTTTTCTTCAAACCTTTAGAGCTTACTTCTCCTATTAAAGTTGCATCATAGGTATGAGATCCAACATCAGCCATATTTCTAATTCATTCATCTATTGGTGCCAATCTTGCCTTTAGTGGCCTGATCACCTTTTTGCATTCAGAATTAGCATTTTCAAAAGCCAAAGATTCAATTAATAGTTGTCTGACTTCTGAATCTGATGCTATTCTATTTACAACTGGGGGTCAATCTTTGAAAAAAAAATCAGTGAAGGCTTCTTTGGAGCCTTGTATAATTTTAGTAAATGATTCAGAACTCTTTTCTGGTTCTTTAGCCTTGTCCAAAGCATTTAAGGCTGCTAACTGACATAGCACCAAGATGTGGTGATCAAATTCAAATTGCCTTTGCAATTCAGCATACCGGCCTTCAACTAGCAATTGATCTTGGGAAATATTAATACCTCTAGCCCTATTTTGTTCTATGGCCCTAGCTTCCTCTTTCCACCATATTTGCCATTGTAACTGCAGACCAGCTTCCATTGTCACTGATGCCAAATCTTTCCAGTCTTGAGGGATAATTCTGATCTGAGTTGATCATGAGTTTAATATCCACTTCACATAGGGTGAATGCATACCATATGAAACAACATCTTCATTAAATCTCCTCAAATCTAATATTTCTAAAGGATTACATTTAACTTCTCCATAAAAATAAGGTTGGTTTTCTAATAACCTTGGGCCACCCCTTTCTAATTTTATAATGTAATGGTGAGATTGGTTCTCCTTCAAATTCCTTTGTCTTCATTTAAATATCTCTATTATCTGTTTCAGTAAGTTTTTCTAAGGCTTGTAACTTATCAGTCAAAAATTGCATTATTTCCTTTAGTAACTTTTTCTAGGGCCTGTATCTTGACACTGATATCAACCAATTTTTTAAGGGCTAAAACAAGAATTATCAAATAGATAATGATTATAATTGACATTATCTAAGTCCCAACTATGTTAATTATCCCCTCATCTAATTGTTCCGCTTTCAAACCATCCATTGTGGAATCATACAGAGACCTAACTCCCTCCATCGTAATATTGTTTCCCACTTTTAATGTCGGAATACCTCTTTTCCATTTTTCTTCTTTTTTCAACTAATTCCCCCTTTTAAGAATCCCAAGTTGTCTCACCAAATCTGCTGACAATGACAGTGAAGTGTAAGGCTAGCTGTTGATATATAGCACATCTGGGTGGAGAACATAAGCAGTGCACAGCCTGGCTGCAGACAGCTACTTCTGATCCTGCATCAGCAGCTTGAGGAGGGATCCAGGGAAAGCCCATAACTCCCGTGAAAAGGAGCCAAAGAGTCAGCTGTCTGAAAGGCAGAAACAGGAATGTGCGAAAGCAGCATGTGTGACAGGTGGGAAGTGAGAGCACAGAGCTGCCTGAAGGCAGAGCTGGCCAGTGGTGAGGGGCTGACTCCAGTGGTGTTTGGAGCCCAGGCACCTGTGGAGTTTGGGGCTTGAGGAGATTGCTATAGAGAGGTTGCAACAGAATAAATCCCAGACTCACTCAGAAGGCTTGGGGAAGAAAAGGAAAAGCCAGTCAGCAGCAGGTGCAGCTCCCACATGGAGCTCCTGCAGGTGTGGGCAGCTGCAAAGCCACAGGCAAGTGACTATCTCGTGAATTTGTGCCCCAAGAGTTGGACCTCAGAAAAAGCATTTATCTAATTGATCTTTAACAATAAAAACTTGAGAGTCAAATATCGGGGTAAGAACTTAAAAGATTAAAGAAGCAGTCATTTTCTACTACCACTCCTTTGTCTAAAAGAGCCTAGATCCTCTCTCAGCTCTGCCTTACTACTTCCTGTCTCCTCTCTGTCTACAGTCCTCCAAACCTCTATGGTTAATTTTGGTCAGCTAGTGGCTGACTCCACCCTCTAACTCCAAGCAGGCTTTGTTAGAACACAATCAAAATATCACACAACAGGGAAGAGATTGGTCCTACCTAAACTTGATGTGCTTTTCAAGCCCATGAGAGGCCTGCCGCTTTCTGAATGAAGGAGTGGAAGGAGAGAGGAGTAGATGGGAAGGGTGGGTGCTACCAGGAGGTGAGGAGGGAGGGGAAACTGTGCTCAGTATATAAAATAAATGAAAAAATGTAATTTAAATAAAATGAAAAATGGCAAAAAAACAAACAATAACACAAAAGCATACTTGAGTATTATCACAAATAGGTCCCCACCCTCATCACACTAGCACAAAAAAGGAAATTTCTCTTCAAAATTCACCAACTTCACATTTCTGCTAAAACCTCTGTTCAGTTTGAACCCAATGCAATTAGCTGTGATTCTAAAATTGTTGTTGGATGAAATCTTTTCCAGCTTTGATGTACTGTGAATGGAAATGTCTCAAGTGGGCATTAAGACCCTCCTTCTAGTTTCTCTATCAGGTAGCAATATTGTTTTTATTCTTGAGTTATTTGGTATTTTACTGACTCAGATAGGTAAGAAATAAATTACAGAGTCCACTCATTAATCTTAAAGTATGCCTACACCAAAAATTTACATGGGAAGTGGGGGCAGGAGAATCAGGAGTTTAAATTCACCCGCAGCCAGAGTTTGAGGTTAGTCTGGAATACATGAGACAATGTGTGTCCACCTTCCCAACTATTCACACCAAAACTCAACCAGAGCCAATTAACTGTCAGGGAAAGAGGATACTAGTTAGGAGATTTTCCACAGGAGGCAGGACGGAGGGCAGAGGTTGGACAGGTGGCAGGTTAGCCCCACGGAGGCTCCACCTGATGTCTCAAAGAAATGTTAAGGGCAGCAGACAGTTCTCTTGGCTATCGATGCTGCCCCTAGCTGCTGTATTTTAAAAAACAGCAGGAGTCACAGCCGGGGGTCGGTGGCTTTACTCCCAGCACTCGGGAGGCAGTGTTATGCCCAGATCGCGACCCCCAGAGAGACCACCTGGGACTAGCATACCAGAATGCAAAAGCAAGGTTTATTTCCGTTACAAGTCGAGACAGAGAACTCATCTCAAGCACTCACTGGCCGCAGCGCAGTTACTCTTTCTTGGGGAAGTTAGTTTTTATAGGCAAAACCCACAAAATTTCTTAGAGGGGAGGGGGTTAGTACGGGTCCATCCTTGATTGATCCAGTTTTTCCCCGGGCCTGGACTTTGTCTTATTTCAGCTTATCTGTTTGCACTGTCAGGAGTTTTACAACCCATCTCCAGGGTCTGGTCATGTTATCTCCGGAGAGGGGCATCACCTGACTTCATGCTCTCCAGGAGGGGGGAACTGACTCAGTTCTGTTTATTTTAAGATAACTCTTCCCTCAGCTCTTCTGGGGTTTGTGGGGAACTGTGTCTGGACCTTTGGTGGGGGTCTTTCAGGCAGAGGCAGGCGGATCTCTGTGAGTTTGAGGCCAGCCTGGTAGGCACCAAAACTACACAGAGAAACCGTCTTGAAAAACCAACAAAAACAAAAACAAAAACGGCAGGAGTCACACCGTACGACAGGGCCCACATGAGAGGTTTATTAAGGAGAGGGGAGAGAAGGGGGCACTAACGGGCCAAGAACCGTCCGGAGGAGCCTGAGGTGGCACACGGGAGCCACTCTTCTGCCAGACCTGATGGCATCTTGCTCCTCTTCTATTGCACATTTTAGAATAGGGGAGGGTGGTGTTCAGAAGGTGAACTCAGGTCTGCGAATGGCAGCTTTCTGCAGGCTGAGCCAGAATTGTGTTCCAGGCCAGTCTGGGTTACACAGATGAGATACTGTCCAAAAAGAACAGGCTAGGCTCAGTTCACCTGTGGAGCGGCTGCCTGACATGCACGGAACCTGAGGCTCTGTTGAGCCCCACCACCGCTAGACCGATGCTGACAGCAGCCTGGGGCCCTTCTGCCCAGTACCGGCTCAGTGCTCAGCGCACCGTAGACCCCAAGCTGCGCAGGAGGGGACAAAACCTTGGCTCCCCGCCCTGGTCCTCAGGCATTTCCGCCAGACTCTGCGCACGCCTCGGCATGCGTCTGCGCGTGCGCGCCCTATAATTAACCGTGCGGTTGCCTGCTTCCGGCGTTCCCTCGCACACCTTCCCAGGCTCGTTCGTTGAGGTTCGGCCTCCGAGTGGAAGCTCAGGGCTGGAACCGAGCGGGCTAGTACTGGCCAACCTTGGCCACGGAGGCTGGGCCAGTTCGTACCCTGCGCGTGCGCGCCGAGGTCACATGACACGGGGCGGGTGCGCGGCGGCGGGTGGAGAGAATCAACCGAGTGAGAGGGTGGTTGCTTCAGAGGAACCTGCGGTGGCAACTGTACCATGGCCGCGCTCTATGGCGGCGTGGAAGGGTGAGCGCTGGACTGGCCGAGGCCGTCCGTTAGGGAGCGGCGGGTCGGGGGGCGGCTGCCTTCTCCACGTCCGGAGCCTCCGGGCTCCACGATGCGACCACACCCCTCCCGGCTTGTGTCTACGTGAAGAGTTGTACGGAGCTGGGGTCAGGTGGGAAGCTGCCGGTCGCGAGTGGACATGGGAAAGAGGAGGAAGCCCAGACTGAGATCTATGGCCAAGGGAAACCGGGAGTCGAGCAGCTGCCCCCAGACCACCGTCTTGTCCTGGTGACTGGGATCCTCCACGGCTGTTGGTTCCCACAGTCTCCTGTTCAGAAACTGGTCTGTTGGACTTTGGGAAGTAGCTCTGCCGGGCATGGCTTTGGGTGCGACGTCAGCCCTCTCTGGGCCTCAGTTGCCACATATGTAAATCAAGAACAAGAGTGAGCAAGATGGTGATTTGGCCTGTCCCCTGTGCATGATAAACTTTTTTTGTGGATCTGGGTGTGTCAAACCAGGACATGCTAGGAGGAGGGTCTGGTATCATAACAGCTCACTGCTGACTTACCCTTAAAGTGTCTCCGTGAATTGCTAAGGTGGACGGCCTCTGGTGTTTTTTGTTTTGTTTGTTTTGTGACACCTTAAAAACAAACAAGGAAAAACCCTTAGCAGAATGTAGGAGTTTGCACTTAGCCTTGTTATAGTCATCTGGAAGGTAGAGCTTAATTTTCCCTAATTTGTCAAGAAGTGATTTGGGATTCTTAGTCTGCTGTCTTGTTCGTTAATATCCCCTCTGAACTTGATTTCCTCTTTGAGTTGGATCATCGAGTTTTACATTCCAGGAAGTGCTGATCAGTAGGACATCACCCCTCCGAATGTCACTCTTCCTCCAGAGGGTTTAGTTGTTGAGGTCTGCATAAATTTCTCCCTGCCTGCTGATCATTTCTCCTAAGTGTCCTGAAGACCCTGGTGACAGGAGATGGGGCTCGAAAGTGGCTCTCAGCTGCTGTGAGAGGAGCAGAGGTCTGCTTTTCTCCTCCGATGTATTTACCCTAAGTTGCTTTGGCCAGGCCCTGGGCCGGTTAGGATAGGGAATCGCTCTGGAGTTGTACCTAGTGGAGCTCATAATGAGAAGCAGACACGAAACAACCTAATGCACTCTTAATTCAGAGCAGTCCTGCTAACTAGGGCTTACTAATGTGTGGAGAAGCCCCCATCAGACAAGTTGTAAGGTCTAGGGGATGAGTAAGTGGGGTCTTGCAGGGGAAGTAGGACCTACAAGGAGAAAATGAGCAAGGCTCCATTTCCCTTTCCAGAGTGTGGCAGACACTAAACAGGTAGGTTTGGAAGTAGAGGTTGGGTTTGCTAAAGCTGTCTTTATCCTAGACTCTAATAAGGGACTACTATGCGAGCTTGGCTCTGTCTGCAGTTTTAGCAGGACTGAGTCTCCTCCCCACTTGTGTTTTATAGGGGAGGCACACGGTCCAAAGCCCTTTTACTTTCTGAGGATGGGAAAATCCTGTCAGAAGCAGATGGACTGAGCACAAACCACTGGGTAAAAAGCCATCCTGAGGGGACCAGAGGGCTTGGTTCTTATTTAATGTGCTGTAACTCCTGTTCAGGTGGTGGCTGGACCTCTTAGCAGCTGACAGGGGCAGTACAGGTCCTGCAAGCCTTTTTAACTCCTCCTTCCCTGTTGGGGCCAGCTGATTGGCACAGACAAGTGTGTTGAGAGGATCAACGAGATGGTGACCACTGCCAAACAGAAGGCTGGAGTGGATCCTCAGGTACCCCTTCGAAGCCTGGTGAGTCACCTGGAGCTGGGGCTATCAACAGTGCTGAAGCAGGTGGCCAGTAGGGTTAGATGAGTTTGATGATGAGAGGAAAAGGTCTCTAGGGCCAGGACCCTCGATCTTATATAGCTGAGAATGTTTTTTAAGAGCACGGGGCTCCAGAGACCCATTGGTACCTTGATTTGAATCTCAGCTTTGCTACCCAGTATAGTGTCCCTTAAGTCAGTCACCTTCTCTCAGCCTCAGTTTCCTCATTTTGCAAATACAGATACTAAGAGTTGTTGGGAAAGTGAGATAGTGAGATTGTATTCCAAAATGGTCAGCACCCTGTAGTCTGGAGGGCTCTTTAAATGTTAGCTCTTCTTCTCCCAGGTTGCTGTGACTGTGGCTACTTCTCAGATGTGCAAGGGAGATATGCAGGCAGTCAGATCCCGTCAATGTCAAGCCAAGCTGCTTTCTCCATACCCTTTCACCTTGCTCCTTTGCCTGTGTCTTCCTTTCTTCCACCCTTTCCCAGGCCAGGCTGTCCCTGCAGGCATGGCCTTCTAAGGGCTTACTGTGGTGGTGGGGGGCTAGAGTAGATGAGCAGAATATGGCCATATGGGTGTCAGTCAGGAGGAGAGGGGTTAGGAAAAGAGCTGGTCTGGGGCTGCTCCCTCCTTTCTTTGCTCAGCGTGTCCCTCTCCCTTGTGGCCTAGGGCCTGTCCCTGAGTGGTGGGGAGCAGGAGGAATCAGTGAGGCTCCTGATAGAGGAGTTGAAGGGCCGATTTCCCCACCTGAGTGAAAGTTACATAATCACCACTGATGCAGCAGGTTCCATTGCCACAGCTACACCGAATGGTGAGGATGTGAAGGGGGGATGGGGTTGAGAATTGAACTGTCTTATGGAGAAAGCCCCTTACCTACAACTGGCAAAACTTCTCTTACAAACATCTGGAAGGCAGCCACTGTTATTCTGTCCCACCTGTCCTTTCCTGGGTATATTAAAACCCTTGCTAGACCAGGGGCCAGGGATATAGGAGGAAGGAGGGCAGGATAAATGTCTGGGTGGGAAGTGAGGGGTGGAATCTATGGGGGCAGAAGATGGCGGGTACTAAAGAGAAAGTGTAGGACTCTGTGGGTATGGTAGTATGCTGGTATATAACTGAGTCTCACCAGGCATGTCAGTGAACACCTTTTACTCCAGCTCTCAGCAGACAGAGGCAGGCAGATCACTGCAAGTTCAAGGCCAGCCTGCTCTACATAAATAAGTCCTAGGTCAGCCAGGGTTACCTTATGAGACCATCTCAAAAATGAAACTGGCTTAGGCTCTGATTTTTGAGAGGCCTTCCATCTTTGAGACGTTGTGGAAAAGGGTTTTCACTTCTGTAGAAGTGGGAGTGGCTGTCTGTAATGATTTAGGGTGCTGATGGTCACTGTAAGAACAGAGTCTGCGCCGGGCGGTGGTGGTGCACGCCTTTAATCCCAGCACTCGGGAGGCAGAGCCAGGCGGATCTCTGTGAGTTCGAGGCCAGCCTAGGCTACCAAGTGAGTTCCAGGAAAGGCGCAAAGCTACACAGAGAAACTCTGTCTCAAAAAACCAAAAAAAAAAAAAAACAAAAAACCAAAAAACAAGAACAGAGTCTGCTATAGTCTCTGGCATTAGGCACTCAGTAAACCAAGATCATTTGAAATCTAGCTGGCAGGGAACCACGTTCCCTTGAAGAGATGCAGATTTGTGTTCTTCCTCCATCCCCTGGACAGAAGCAAGTGGGCTGCTTGCTCTGGGAGGTTGGGTGGTGGTCCCTCCACTGTGGGGCTGGTTTCTGTCCTATCTTTTGCAGTGGGAAGCTGCTGCTCTATACAGGCTCTTTGCCACACTGAGCCCCCATCCCCTCTCTCCAGGTGGGATTGTGCTCATCGCTGGAACCGGCTCCAACTGTAGGCTTGTCAATCCCAATGGCTCCGAGAATGGTTGTGGTGGCTGGGGCCATATGATGGGAGATGAGGGCTCAGGTGAGCACACATAGGGCCTGAACATACCCCCTCCCTCTCCCTGCTCTCTTGGTCCCTAAACCTAAACAGATGTCCCTAAATAGCACCTTAAACCTGTTTCAGAGTACAGGGTAGTGTTAGGAGAATCACACTTAACATCTTGCTCCTTAGTAGCCTCTCATGCCCAAGGTTCAGTTTATGGCATGGTGGTGCAGCCTACTTCTGTTGACTTTTGGAGACCTAAGGGAAGGATTCAAACTGAAGGTTAAGGCCATAGGTGTCCAGAGATTCTCTGCCAGTGGGAAAGGGGTCTGCAAACACTGCCCACTGACACTACTTTTAGGGCAGCATATATACATTACTTTGGTGGCTTTTGGGTCCAGCTCATGATGTATCTGCAGCTGTGTATGACAGCTCACCACCCTTGTCTTTGAATGGGAGCCAGTGTGACAAGTTTACCTACTCAGTCTTCCCACCAGCTTTCCCTTGTCTGGGTCTGCCAGATAGTTTGGTTAAAAGCCTCCCTCCCTACTGGGAGCCACTGATTGATCACTGACTTCTAACTGGTCTTGGGCTTGAGACTCCTTCTTGGTGAGGAGATGGCCTCTGTAATTGGCTGTCCTCTTTGCCCTCTGCTCCTGCAGCCTACTGGATTTCACACCGAGCCATAAAAATTGTGTTTGACTCCATGGACAACCTGGAGGCAGCTCCTCACGATATTGGCTATGTCAAGCAGGCCATGTTCAACTATTTCCAGGTACTGCCTACCCCACAGTCATGTACACCTAGTGTAGGACACTGGGGAGTCCACAGGAGAGGCTGCAGGAGGAGGGGATGGGGGTCTCCAGGTGGGTCAGAAGAGCAACGTGAAGAAGTGACAGGGAAATGACAGGATTTAGAGTAATGTGGCAGTGTGTTCAGACCAGTGTGGCTGCCATTGCCTCTTAGGAATTTCAGCATTTTTGCAAAAAATTTAAACAAAGCCAAATGAGACAAGTGTATAAAACATTTTGTAATGTTTCTGTAGATATATTTATCCCACCCCCACTAAAATGTACTCTGGAGAATCTGTATTTTGGGGGACTCAGAAGGGTGATGTGTTAGATTGGTGGTGGTGGAGGAAGACAGTTTGGGAGGTGAATCCATATCTTGGTTGCAGCACTTCTCAGAACCTCTGGTTTGCTACTCTTACATAGGAACTGTAGGGGACTGCTCTTTAACTCAAACAATCTTTTTAAGAGTTCTTCAATGAATTTGATCATGAGGAAGACAAAACTACTCAAATGATAAATCTCACATTCCTGTAATTTTTAAAGCTTTAAAAAAGTCTCAAAATATTTTGGTCATTCCAATGGACATACTGGGAAGGCCACTTAGGGTGACAAGCTAGGGGTTTTCTGTGTCTATTGACTGCTTGTGTCTCCTCTTGTGTTCCTCAGGTGCCAGATCGGCTAGGAATCCTCACCCACCTGTATAGGGACTTTGATAAATCCAAGTTTGCTGGGTTTTGCCAGAAAATTGCAGAAGGTACTGCAGGTGCCGGCTTGTTTGTAGCTTGGTTCCACAAAAGCATGTCTAATGGGAGGGTGGTGCGTGGTTAAGCCTGTGTGCTGGTGGCTGTCTCACCAAGTACCCTGGAGTCTGTGGCTCAACTTGGTGTGGTGGATAGGGCGAAGGTGGGAGCAGACAGCACTGGATTGTCTTGTGTTTCTCTCCCTGGTGGCCAGGTGGCTGATGTAATCCACAGACCTGGGTTTGAGAACCTGAAGTGTGTCTGTTGGGCAAGTTCACAGAAGCAGGGATTGGAAAGTTCAGGCAGCTTGTATTGGCTTTGGGAGGAGCCTGCCTGTCACACCTTGTGTTTGCAATGTGAGGTCTGCCCCCCTTTAACTTGGATTGCTTGGCCCCAGGACTTATCTCAGAACGAAGGCTCGAAATACCAGCCAGGATGGGGCTGGCCAGCAGCACACTGTTGGGAGTGCTGGTCACCAACAGGGGTGTCAGCAGTCTTCTCAGGGTCCCTTGTCTGTAGGGCTGATACACAGCAATATGGTTTAATAGTTCACTGGAGTCTAGTCCTACTGCTCTGGTGGGGTAGGGGAGGATCTTCTCAAAGCTTAGTGAGCTGCTTCGGGCAGGGCACTGGAAGAGGAGGTACCTGGAATGGTGGGAGGAGGCTTGCTTTACCAATGTGGGCATCCAACCTAACATTGACTTGGCCTCTGCCTTACGGAAGGGAGAGAGCGGCTAGAGTAGATAGGCTGCTTCCTGTATTCTCCAGCCTCTTCCTCTTCCATGCTCCAGGTGCACAGCAGGGAGATCTCCTTTCCCGGTACATCTTCAGGAAGGCTGGGGAGATACTGGGCAAACATATTGTGGCAGTTTTGCCAGTGATTGACCCGGTGAGTTGAAGCAAGACACCAAGGCGGGTGGCAGCTGGAGGAGGTCTGGCCCTTGGCCTAGGGTGGTGAGACTGCCCCATCAAACTCTATGTGCTTTGATGCATCTGAATCTGTAGAGACTGACTTCATGTGGGGCTTGTCTTCTAGGCTCTCCATCTTCCTACTCAACCTCTTCCCATTTGACCATTCCTTTCCTCTTCTCCACCTTACTCTCATGACTTCTGTTTTCCTCCTTGCCGCTCCTCCCTCCCTTTTTTTCCCTTGAGTCCACCTCCAGTTTCCCCACTAGAGGGAGAGTGTCTTGGACTGAAGTTGGTCTGAGGAAACATCCCAAGGCCCTGACAAGGTCTAGGGTCAGCTTGCAGTGTCCTATTTCTGCCTTCTTCCCAGGTCTTGTTCCAAGGGAAGCTTGGCCTCCCCATTGTGTGTGTGGGCTCAGTGTGGAAGAGCTGGGAGATGCTGAAGGAAGGTGAGTCTGCATGGGCATGTGTGGGTGAAGACAACAGATACAGCTGGAAAGGAGGGTGAAGTGGGGTCAGCACCTGTGACCCCCTCCTGGGGTATGTGGTTGCTAAACCTGTGCTCTACTGTAGAGCTGTACAGCTCTAGCTCTTGAGCTGGTGAAAAGATGTTCTATTCCAAGTGATGTATTAATCACTTTTTAAGATTTATTTACTTTTATGTTGTGTGGGTATTTTTGCCAGTATGTCTGTGCACCATGGATGTGCAGTACCCAAGGAGGAGTAGAAGAGGGTTGTCAGAACTGGAGTTACAGGTATTGTGAGCCACCATGTGGGTGCTGGGTACTGAACCCAGGTCCTCTGAAGAGCAGCAAATACCCTTAACCACAGAGCCATCTCTCCATCCCCTTATAGCTCAGGCCAGTGTGTGATAACCTGTGGTAGCCTTAGTCACCATTCTGGTCAGAAGAAAGAATTTAGCATGGCAGCCTCAGCTCAGCCAGTTGCAGGGTTTACATTAGACTCTGAAACAGCTCAGGGTCCCTACTGGATTCTGGCACCAAGAAGTTGTGGGTGTTGCATGCTCTGGAGTTGAGTATGGGTTCCTTGGGCTGCTGGTCCCAGGACCCACAGCATCCTGGTGTCTCTGTGCTGGATGCTTGGGCATGGGGTCTCCAGCATCTCCACTGAAGCCCTAGCTGCTGATCTCTTCTCTATGTTCTTCTCTCCAGGCTTTCTCCTGGCACTGACTCAGGGCCGAGAGCTGCAGGCCCAGAAATCCTTTTCCAGCTTTACCCTGATGAAGCTACAGCATTCTTCTGCACTGGGAGGTGCCAGCCTAGGAGCCAAGCACATTGGATACCAGCTTCCCCTGGACTATAGCATCAATGCCACTGCCTTCTATTCCTATACCTTCTAGGGCCTGCACCCCCTCCCCCATCCAGCTGACAGTGAGTGTTAGGAGGAGGAGCTTTTTTGTTGTTGTTAAAAACACATATGGAAGAAAATAAATGCACTTTACCCCCTCCCCAGTAGGATGGTATCCTCAACACATTGCTGTGCGTGTCCTCAGCATTTCCAGCAGGTTAGCCTAACAGGTTCAGTGTTGAAAGATACACTCCAGGTGATTGCTCTGGTGCATGCACCTACCAGGCTTTTAAGCATATAATGGCCCCGCACTTCCCATTTCCACACCACATGCTTTGGCTGCCAGGAGCTGGGACCGTTTCCTCTTGGCAGAGTTACAATTTCTTATGATGGACCTAAGTTATATCCATGCCTACCTCCCAGGGAATGACCCAAGATCTATCACACCCTTTCCCAAGGTTCCCAGTAGGATTTAGGGGACAGTACAATCCTAGTCTCAGTTTTGATTTAACCTTGGATTTGGGAGCTGTAGGTACACAAGGCATTTTATTGTTTCTTGTCTGAATGAATCCCTATGGGCCAAGTAGCCTGCCTATTCCTCACTGCTGCTCATCTGGCTCTGGTTACAGTGGGACACTTCTTTCTCAGATCTTTATAGCTAGGCTGCTGCTGCCAGCCCTGGGGGGAGGGTCTTTCCTCTGGAGCTAATCTTTCTAGGAAATACTCTTGAATTGCCCAGAGGCACTGTCATTCCCAGTACCAGTTGGCAACTAAGATTAACCAGGTCTGGATATGCACAATGCTAGTTTTAACCTCTGGGTTCTGTTTTCCCTCTCTTCAACTCCGGCACAGTATACCTGTCCATACCAGGTTTAGTCAGGAAGGTGCTACCTCAGCATCTCAGCAAGTGCATTTATTCTCAGTGAGTTTTTAAACAGATGCCATTTGATTTGTAGAGCAAAACTAACTTTTCAGTAATCCCACCCCCCCACCCACCCCCACACATACTTTTGGTGTTTTTAGGAAAATTGTTTTAAGGGTTCTGTGGTAATTTTATGTTTGGGTGTTCTGCCTACATTTATGAACACTGTGTGTGCACCTGCAGGGACCAGAAAAAAAAATCAGATCCTGTCTGGGACTGGAGTTTCAGATGGTTGTAAGCCATCTGGGAATTGAACCAGGAGCAGCCATGCTCTTAATTGCTAAGCCATCCCTCCAGCTTGTTTTTTCAGATTAAAGGCCCTGTGAGCTTTTAAACATTTGCAACAGGGACAAGAGTCTAGAGTCTAGACCTAGGTTTACTGGAGGCGCCAGGCAGCCTGGGCATCATTAGGCTGCTTTGCTCCGCTGGCTCCTCCATCTCCACTTTGACCTTCTTTCCTCTTGTGTACATCACCACCTCAAGAGTCCAGCATGGTGGACGCCAATACCCATGGACATGACTAGAAAGTTGCAGTCTTCAGCACTGATTCTGAGTGAAACACTCGTGTAGTTTCATTCCCTGTCCACTTGTGCTCATTATTAAATGGGCCTCAGATGCGTCAAAGGTCACAGAGAACTTGCCAAAGTAGAGGTGGAGAGCCAGTGGAGCTGAGGAGGCTGGAACTCAAGCTTAAGGGGCTGACAACAGTGCAGTGTATTCATCAACAGGAAACAGCTCAACATTGAAAGAACACCTCAAAAAGGGGCCAAATTAATTATAGTATTTGATGCCACTGACATGAAATGTCCAGAAAAGGTGCATCAGCCATACCAGGGCCTGGGGACCAGCATATGAGAGAGCTGACTGGGAGAGACAAATGTGGTTGTTACTACAGCGCTAAAGGAAATTCTTAAACTCAGTGACTTAGAGACACTTAAACCTGGTGAGTTTCATGATTTGTATGATTGCTGTATGTCAAGTGTGTTGCTGATTGGTCAATAAATAAATCACTGACTGGCCAGTGGCCAGGCAGGAAGTATAGGCGGGACAAGGAGGAGAATAAAGCTGGGAAGTGGAAGGCTGAGAGAGAGAGAGACACTGCCAGCCGCCACGATGAGAAACAGCATGTGAAGATGCTGGTAAGCCACAAGCCACGTGGCAAGGTATAGATTAATAGAAATGGGTTAATTTAAGCTGTAAGAACAGTTAGCAAGAAGCCTGCCACGGCCATACAGTTTGTAAGCAATATAAGTCTCTGTGTTTACTTGGTTGGGTCTGAGCGGCTGTGGGACTGTCGGGTGACAAAGATTTGTTCTGACTATGGGCAAGGCAGGAAAACTCTAGCTACATATGATAGGCATCATTAGGGAACTACCCCAGTTCAAAGCTGTTTTTTTTTTTTTTTTAGGGGCCCTGTTTCTACTTTTCAAGTACTAGTTTATTTTTATTAACTTACTTATAGACAGAGTCTCATTTATGTAGACCTGGCTAGTCTGAACTCTTGTGTTGGCCTCAAACTAGAGATCTACCTGCCTCTGCCTCTTCCCAAATCCTGATATTAAAGATGAGTACTGCTCACAATCTGCTGTTAAATATTTCTGAAGGCTCACAACTGGCAGGACAAAATTCTCTGTGTGTTTATAGAGCAAAACATGTTACTACTTTACAGGAAATACATATGATAGTTAAGGGATATAGTTTGCTGTTGGAACACTTCCTCACCCATGCATGACATCTTCCATTTAACCCCCAGCACTGAAAGACAATTTAGTAACAGTACAATATTAAGCTATTTAGGACAACCAGGTGGTCCACACCTATAATCTCAGCACTGGAGAGGCTGAGGCAGGAGGATCAGAGGTTCAAGTCTAGTCTGGACCACAGAGCAAGACTATGACTCAAAAAAAAATTTTTTTTTGCTGCCTAGCTGTGTGAGGTCCTAAGGACTACCCCTCCCCCCCCGAAGAAAAATCTTAATATTATTAAGTAACCTGGAATGTTTATTCATTTTAAAATAAAGGTAGGTAAATTTGGAGGAAAGCTCAGCAAATTTTCCATTTAAATTATACTTTTATTGAATTTCCTGTTCCCCAAGAACAGGAAAGGAAGTATGGCTCCTAAGCTTGACATCTTGAAGAGAGCAGTGTGTCTTACGACCTAGTCCTGACTCCCAGGGAATAGAAACGTCTGGGGTCCAGCAGTGTGTTGGCTGATGAGGGCAGAGGGCAGGTAGTATGCAGTCTAATGTGTCCCTGGGCAGATTCCTGCTCTGTTCCCACCACTACCAGCGACTTCTTGGAAGATTAAACATGGGAAAAAGAAACCCACTCCTTCCAGATTGTGACTGTCTAAGTCTGGTGACATCCTCCAGGTAGCAGAATGGATTTTGGAAGGTGCTCACACCCACTGCACTGAGCTATCCCAAAACGGACCATTCCTGGGGGCAACGAGTCTCATGGCAATTATGAATGGCAGGTCACTAAGGGTCCCTGCTTCACATATCAGCATCCTTTCTACTCTCCCTACTTGATAAAACTAATGCCTCCCACCCTTGCCTCTCTCTCCCAGAGGAGAGCGGCTGGGATAAGCTTTTCCACCAGATGGGTACCTCCAACTTCTAGTCAAACTCCTATTCTTAACATCCTATAAACCTAGACTAATAGCATGTAATACCAAGACTCTTACTGAAGAGATCTGTCCCCTCTAGTAACAGGGGACAAACTCAGGAAGCTAGGCAGTCACATGCTTATCTACCACAGCCCCAATCAAGAGATTCACTCTGGCTGTCCCCCTTCCCAGCTCACTCATTGAAGGTGCTGACTTGCAGAGCTGTTTACCTGCATCTTAGTCTCTTGAAAGTCAAAACAAACCCTTGACATAACAATAATATGGAAAATGCTTAGTAGTTCACTAAAAACATTTATTCTTAAGACATGGTTAGCCTTACAATCTTAATGAAGCAATCACAGCTCTTCTGACTTTGGAAATAGGGGTGGCTCCCAAGACCCAGCCTCTCTCACAGGTCTGGAATGCAGCCTGGTGTAGTGTTTGCATAGCACATGTGAGATCTTAGTTCAATAAAAAAGATCCAATCTTTAGACTATTTTCTGGCTTGCTTATATGACAACCAAAAGTCAGGTACTCTATAGATAGAAACTGGCCCCAGACCCTGAGCTTTGTACCCTAGTACCCAGGCTTTGGCTACCTCCATAATTTCTTATGCAGTCCAAAATGCCTGAAGAGACATTCCTTTATTCCTTCTCCCTCCACAAAAGAAAAGTTACAGAGTCAAATAATCACAATTAGAACTCAGTCTAATAAATGAAGACTGGGACCAGCCAGACCAGCAACTATTAAGAACATTTTCTACTGCTGTATAAATTCTCAAGGGGGAAACAAAACCCACAAAAACCCAAAACTCTTCTGCTAAGCTGGCAAACTCTAAGGCTGAGCCTGTAGTCTGGGGCATGATTATGCTACTTCACAACATTGAATGATAGGAGAGTTGGGTCACAGGAATAAGTCATTCCACATATTACTAAGGACCACCTACCTCACTGGCTGTATCCCAAGCCTGGAGTCAGTATGCTGCTCTGAGGTGGACCCAACACACCAGCACTTGCTTTCAGGTACACCCAACAGCACTCTAGTAGTATTAACCAAATGCACCCTCAAAACCAAGACAGAGATTGACATCCAAGTAAAATAAGTCAGCACAGCAGGAGGGGATGTAGGCCTCTGGGACCACACCTAGCAGCTTGGCTTCCAAAGGGCAAAACTTTAGGATGGAACAAAACCTCCTCAGGCTTGCACAGGCTTCCCAGCCAAGTACTCAAAGAAGGGTGCACAATATTCAGGTGGAGATTCTCAAGGATATTCCTGCAATCCTGATACATTCTGATCTCCAACAGTCTCGTGGAGGCTGCAGCAGAATCTTTTTATGCCCTACCCATACCCTTCTCCTTATTAGAAGTGGCAAGCCAAGCTAAAAGCTGAAGCAGGAATAAAGTCCTCCCAGAGGACTAGGAGTTCCTAGTTTCATTTTCTTGAGGGAGAAGCTTTGGGAGTCAGTATGTGTCTGGACATACAATTTCCCTGAGCTACTCACTATGATGTGACCTAAGGGGGAAGGTCACTGTCACAAGATGCCATCCTATGAGACTTTTAACAGGAAAAACAGGGAAGTTTGTGTTTAACTGCTGGGGCTGTTTACAAGTCAACAAGGGAGGGCTGAGAACAGCTCAAGGGCAGGACTAACCTGGCAAAAGTGACACTCTGGGTTCTATCACTGGAACCAAAATGAAATGGAAAGTTAGAAAACTAGCTCATGAAAAAGGGAAAAGTTCCAACTTTCCAGACTCAATCCTTTCTTCCAGTCTCTGCCCACATCCACATGCTGAACTGATAGCATGGAAGCTACATGATCTTTCCAGACCTAACACACAGCACAGGGACAGCACTCTCAGGCCTTTCCAAATCCCTTGTCCTGGGAGTATGAACAGGACAGGACACTTGTCCTTTCACCCTCAACACTACCACCTTGACCTCTACTCACATCAGCAGCCCCCAGTGGAATTCAGTTCCACAGAGCATCAATAAAACCCTAATGAGTCACAGGAGAACTAAGAGAGCACCCAGCCAGGCCCACGAGGACAAAAAGCCAGTCTGTGGGAGCAATAACACCCATTAACAGCTTCACGGAGCTTTGTTGTGCTCTCAGGCAGGACTCCTTAGTAGCTTAGTTTCTGGGAATCACTCTGTAAGGCAGGAGAAGCACCCAAACTAAGCTGAGCAGCTTACTAGTGTTTGGAAAAACGTTATTTCCTTGAAAAAAAAAATACAGAAATCTTTGAGAGAATTAAGACACTGTAAAAACCAGATATTTATGGGACTAAGGAAAATAAAACAAAACTGTCCAAAAAGATTCAAGATGCAACTAACCCAACGAAAGGCCTGTCTCAGACTTCGGCTAACAGTGTCTTTTAGAGCTGTGAGGGAAAGAAACCAGGAGTAGCCCCTATATGGATCGTGAAGGCAAAGTGACTCTATGTGACCTTGACTTGTAAATGATAAGTGACAGCTACACACCTATGATCAACACCAGGCCAGCAGCAACTAAATGACAGACACCATCCAGCCCTGTTCTTCTGATGTACAACTTGCATCCATCCAAAGTTACATTCATCCAAGAACTTCCAAATCTGTGTTTTCTTGAGTAAAGTTCAGGCCAGGAGACAAGGGCTTTGTGGGCCACTGGTACCCCAGTTCACTATGGAAATGTCAGGGGTTGGAGATCTGAGTGTTGCATCTGGTTTACATCTCCTGTTCTGTTCTTCCCTCTTACCACCCAGCTGCAAACTCCTTAAGCTCTCCAGATGCCCTGCTCCTGGTAGGTACACAGCAGGGAAGATTACTTCTTAAATACTGTTTTCCTTGGTCAGCTTATTTTGCTTGAATGCATACAGAACATTCCTTACAAGGGAAAAACAACTCCAAAGAACTTCTCAAAAATAAAATAAAATGGGAAACTGCTCTGAACAAGTTAGCAGAACAGAAGAGCAAAGTTCAGAGGGCTTGGAGAGTAGTACCTCGCACATTAGTTACTCAGTCACAGTATCCAGTTAAACCACCTTCCCAACCCAACCCACCCTGGCCACACAGCCCTGCCACCCCCCTTCAGCTCTGCCTTTTTGTGCATTGCTGACCCCAGGTACGGGGACAAGACAAGTCCTTCTGGAAGCTTTCAACAGCTCAGTACTTCACTCCTGGAATAAACTCCTTGGCATCTGGATTCAGGTTACTTTTGCTCTGAAATAAGAATCAAGAAAAAACATATCTCAAAGCAAGCTGTACTTTATTATATTTTTCATGTTAAAAAAAATTAATTTAGCATACAAAATACTGAGTTTCACTATAACTTTTTTTTTTTTTTGTTTTTCGAGACAGGGTTTCTCTGTGTAGCTTTGCGCCTCTCCTGGAACTCACTTTGTAGCCCAGGGTGGCCTCGAACTCACAAAGATCCGCCTGGCTCTGCCTCCCGAGTGCTGGGATTAAAGGCGTTCGCCACCACCGCCCAGCTCACTATAACATTTTATACATATGCAATACACTGACTCTGCTGATACCTGCCTCTTATCCCTCCCCATACCGATGGCCATCTTTCTACTTTCATGTCATGTTATACTTTAAAACTTATTTTCAGGCTAGGGATGTAGCTTATTGGTAATGTACTTGCCTAGCATGTACAAGGTTCAAATCCCCAGTCCTGCAGAAAGATGAAAGTACAGGGAAAGAGAAGGGAAGAGGGACAGGGACTGGGAGAAAAATACCAAATCATTTAAAACTTTGTTTTTGCAGTTCTGATACATGCTAAGCAAGTGTTCCACAACTGAGCCACACCCATAGTACCCTTCCTGGTAAGCCTCGGAAAAGAAGGAAGATTCTTAACACCCCAGGCTGTCACTGAATTATTCTCAGAGGCTCCTCCCTCTTTCTTCCCACTCCATTTCAGGATATTCCCCTGAATGATATTCATTCCAAAATAGCACTTCAAGCCACTGAACAGATTAACATGGTAAAAACGATATTCCATGAAGCCAGCTGGGATACCAGAACCTCTTTTTCTCATCTTTCTGTGCCCCTTGCTGGTCTTGTTGAGTCTTGGCTCACTGCAAGGCACAGCCACTCACAAGCTATGTGGGAACCACAGTGCTCACAGGATTCCAGCCACATCAAAATAAAAGGCAAGGAACTCACTTTTCTGATTCAACTGAACTACAAACTGGCCTGTGAGGAATGTGTTCCTTCTAATAGGAACAGTTTTCCTAGCAGAGCGAGAGTACATTAGATACAGATAGTGAAAGAGAAAGACAATTATCAAGTGGTCCTACTGAAGCCCAACTCAGACTTCTAATCTTATCCCAGTACAGAGCATCAGGGTAAATGAAGGCTGACGACTACAGTTTCACAGAGCTGGAGGCCATTTAAGGGGTGAAGACATGGCAGCTGAGAGGCTCCAGAGATCTGATGTAGAGTGTAGGGTCACACAAGCATCTATGACTCTAAACACTATATTGCTTACAGGATGTCACACATGAACTACTGAAGGCTCTTACCAAAATGTCTTCAGATTCATGACTGTCGCTGACTGATAGTCCATTTAACTGCTGCTGTAAGTGTCCCACAGCCTGAGGCAGGTCTCGTGCTGGGATGAACCAGTCCTGGTCTTCTTCATCCAGCATCTCCTGGAAGCAGCGGTCCAAGAAGTCTTGCTCCTGCAGCTCTTCCTCTACCTGCCAAAAAAGGGGAATACTCAGAGGTACTATCCCAAAGGGTGATCCCTCTGGGGTCCTCAGCCCTTCAGAGGTCCTCACTCTGCAACTCAGAACCATGGGCAGGAGAGCTAATGATGCTTCTAAGGACTATTGTGGTTTAAATGAGAAATGTTCCCAATTGGCTCATGTTTCTAAATACTTGGTCCCTAGTTGGCGATGCTATTTAGGGACATGACAGAACCTTTATGAGGTAGAGCCCTGATGAAGAAAGTATGTCAGTGTGGGCAGGCTTTGAGATTTATGGACATACCCCATTGTTTTTTCTCTCTGCTTCCAATTTGCAGATAACATGTAATCAGCCAGCTTCTTGTTCCTGCTGCCAATGCTTATCTGCTGCTCAGCCCAGCCATGATGGACTGACTGGATCTCCCCTAGAACTGTACGCTAAAATAAACCCTTTTCTTCCCTAAGCCACTTTTGGTCATGGTATTTTATCACAACAACAGACAAGTAACTGATCTGATAAACATAAAGAAAACATGATTTTAGTTATTCAAAATGGCAGAAACTTCAAGTCTTCATAAATTTTTATGGGACACTTTTTTATTATTACTTTTGATTCTTTATCTTGCTTTTTTTATTCTCTACTTTTACGATGGTATGGAAAAATCATTTTATAGCTTGAATTCTTTTCTTGATCTTGTTAAAAGCATTCTTTCTAGTCAGATGTGGCAGCATGCTTGTTATTCCAGCACTTAAAAAGCACAGACAGGTGGGTCTCTGTAAGTTCAAGGCCAGCCTCATCTGTGTTGTAGACCAGCCAGGGCCACATAGTGAAACCCTGATTCAAAAGAACAAAACAAAATTTTTAAATTTCCCACTTTACCAGGAACATGTAAAAAACAAAGGAAGTATGTAATTGGTCTGCTTCTTGGTTACTAAAAACTAAATCAAAACCAATATTAGCTCCTGACCCACTTTTTTAGTAATAACCCCAAGGCAGAAAAATACTTTTAGAACCTTAGAAAGATACAAAGGACACTTTCTGGTGCATTACTAGAAATATATGTCACAATACAGTTTTCTCTTAAAACAAAAACACAATAATTTAAACTACTCTGTACATCCTAAACACTATCACAAACTGAAGTAAAGAGATCTAGGATTTTCCAGTCCTTTGCAAACAGTGTTTACTGGGCAGATTTCAGTGACTTCATTGGCTGCTCCACACTTGCCAAATTTCTTTCTCACCTCCTGCTAGGTAACAGGATCACAGCTCATTACCTCCACAAGACAGATCAAACATCAACAACAACAACAAGTCACTCAACTGTGCCTCATATGTTAATAGCAAGTTTTTAATTGTTTCTATTGTTTCTAGACAGAATTTCCTATATCCCAGGCTGGCCTTGAACTCTCCATGTAGCTGAGGCTGGCCTTGAACTTCTGATCCTCCTGCCTGTTCCCCCCAAGTGCTGGGATCAAGTCATGTTCTATTACTCAGTTTAAGAAGAGTATTTTAAATTTGTAATTGCCCAAACATTTTTAAATCTCATAAATTACATAGTTATGAAGCTCTTAAGAAACTACAACAAAGTATTTCTAAGCCATAAGATTTTATAGCTTTGTGTTTGAAATGTTTGGTATTTATCCATTCTCTATTTCTCTTTGTGAAAGAGCTGGACTAACTCACTATGTATATAGCTCAGGCTGGCTGTGAACTCACATCAATCCCCCTGCCTCAGCCTACCAAGTCTTATACCACAGGTATAAGCCACAATATTCCTGCTCTCCATTCTCTTACATATTCCCTTGCTCAAGTATTTTACTATAGCTGTTTTAGGACCTTGCCATGTGAATCTATTTCTCTTATTATAGCAATATTCTATTTTCTTGTGAAAGAGTTGGGAAATTAGCACTAAAAACATAAAAAAAAAAGAAAGAAAAGAAAACAAACAAAAGATCCTAAGTCTCGACTCTGAGGCATGAATGAGTATTGTGTCTGTTCTGCCTTTAGTTATTAGATACCCATGGGGAAATGATAGGAGCTTACAGAAGAACAAAAACAAAAACCCAGTTAGAGAATATGTATGTAAAAGATCCCTAACACCCAACTAAGTGGTTTTTATCTTCTCACATTCCATGTCATACCTCGCCAGTGGCAACACATCCTACAACTTGCACAGAATTGGTGGTTGCAAAACTCAGCAAAACTCTTCTCTTTTTAGTATTAAAATTATCTGTGTATGAATATAAATCATTCACAAATAGAACTAATGTGTTTCTTCTTATAAGAATCCTTCCCTTTCCTGAGTTATCCTTCTTTTAAAAAATCTTTTATTATTTTTAATCGGGGGGTGGGGGGTGAGTGCACACGAGTGCAGGTGAATGAAAAGGCCAGAAGAAAAGCACTGGGGCCACTGGAGCTGGAGTTACAGATGGTCGTGGGCTACCACGGAGGTGCTAGAAACCAAACTCCGGTCCTGTGCAGGAACAGCAGGCACAAGACTGCAGAGCTGCCTCTTCAGCCCCTTGAGTTATAGACTTCTTGAGATTCCATTTGTTGTTATTATCTATCTGGGTCAGGGTGTCATGGACCTGTTTATAGGCTCAAGCTGGATAGGTAGCAGAAGATGACCTTGAACTGTTCTTGTCGACTCTACTTCCCCAGTGCTGGGATTAAAAGTATGTACCATCACATGCCACTACTTGCTGAGACCTCAAACAAGTGATATTTCCTTATTTAGGTCTTAGTCTTTTCCCCTTCAATATGACATTTCAATCTAGTTCTAAACGACTCATATTTGTTCACTTTTTTTTTTTAACAGAGCCTTGAACTCCTGATCCCCTTGCTTCTTCTTATAAATGTTGGGATTACACGCATGCACCACCATGACCATCTTTCAGTGAACATTTTTCCCCAAGGGGGCTGGGGAAATGGCTCAGCAGGTCAAGTGCTTGTGGCACAAACATGAGGACCAAGTTTGGATCCCCAGAATTTGTAAAAAGCTAGGTGTGGTGGTGTATGTCTGTCATCCCAGTGTCCAGCGGCAGAGACAGAGGAAATCTAAGGACTCACTGGCCAGCCAGTCTAGCCAATCACCAGCTTCAGATTCACTGAAGACTGTTTCAAAAAATAAAGTGGAGACTGACAGAGGAAAACACATATTGACATCTGGCCTCCGCGTGCATAGGTGCCTGAGGATGTGTATCTTCCGACCCAACCAATGGCAATCGATACTAGTATTAGGGATTACAGCTTTGAAGTTTTTTTATTATGTTTGTTTACTTATTGTTGGAGGGAGGTACGCGTGTGTCATTGCACACACCTGGAGGTCAGAGGACAGCTTGTGGGAGTTTGTTCTTTTCTTCTACTATGTGGGCCCTGGGGATATAGCTCGGGTTGTAAGGCAATGGCAGCAATTGCCTTCATCAACAGACCCATCTCACAGGCCCCATACGATGTTTTTCATTCCATGTACCTTGACTTGAATCTTATGGTACAGAAATTGTGGCCTGTCTGGAAACCTTGATATAGTAACTTCTTGTCTTATCAATTTTTTTAAACTTCATCTTAAATCTTTATTGTTTGTCTTGTCAATTTTAATATGACTTTACAGAATGAGATACACAAACAGCAGCAAGGGCATGTCAGCAAAGTGTTGTAGTAGCCACCACCTTGACAATGATAGCAGCAATGTCAGTGGAGGCAAGAGGGCAAGGAAGGACTCCACACAAGCAGCAGAGACATTGAAGGACCATGGGGTGGAAATACAGAGACCCACAAAGAGTGGAAGGGAAGAAGGAGGGAGAGACTACAGGTCCTTGAGGGTTTAGGAGGATTTAGGAGCTATAATCCTGGCTGGCTCTGACTGTTGCTGCTTAGAGCCGAGGACTGCACTATGTCTTGAGGGTCAGCTTAGAACCCAGAGCTATAGACTCTAATTGAAGCTATATGCCTCTGGCTGCTAAGATCTGGAACCCCTGTTCTCTGTGTCAGGCCTTTATCAACTCTAAAAGAGCCACCCTGTTCCTACAAGCACAGCAAAAGATTCCAGTAGCTCACAGGGATGATGACTGCCTTCTACCTTTGCCTACCTGTCTATTGAAATCCTCTTCATTCTCCATCCACATATATTCTGCAAATGGGTTTTCCTTTTCCTCATGTCCATTTAATCCTTGGTCCTCCTTGCATTTCACACTGGGTGATGTACTTGCCACACTGGATCCATTCATTATGGAGATTCTAAACAGATAAAAGAAGGCAAAAAGTGAAGATAAGGACTAAGAAAATTTGAATCTAAAACATCCAGGTCCTTCGGAAGGTTCTCAAGTTGTAGGCCAGTAACTTTAATGAAAATGAACACAATTGCTAGTTTGTAAGTGTTATGATATCAATTATATCTATACAGTTACCAATTATACAGGTGTATAGTTCTTTAAGAATTGAGGAGTGGGCATGGTGGTGTGGTGATATGAAAGAAAATGCCCCCCAAAGGGAGTGGCACTATTAGGAGGTGTGGCCATGTTGAAGGAACTGTGTCACTGTGGAGGCAGGCTTTGAGGTCTCACATATACTCAAGCCACTTCCTGTTGCCTGCAAGTCAAAATGTATTAACTCTTAGCTCCTGCTCTAGCAACATGTCTGCCTACATGCTGCCATGTCCCACCATGATGATAATGGACTAAATGTAAGCCACCCAATTAAATGTTTTCTTTTATAAGAGTTGCCATGGTCATGGTGTCTCTTCACAGTGACAGGAACCCTAAATAAGACAGGTGGCTCACTCCTGTCATCTCAGCACTCAGAAGTCAAAGCAGGAAGACTGCCTCAAGTTTCAGGCTAGCCTGGGCTATTGTGAAACCTTCTCAAACAAAAAACAAAAACAAAATAAAAAACAAACAAAAGGGATTAAGAAAAAAAAAGTCTAAGCTTACTTTTCCCAAACAAAAGCCAAAGGATATGGTAATAGAAACTTTCCTAAGCCAAATTCCTAAACATTCTAGAACCTACTGCAGATCAACTTTAATATTTAAACAGGAAGAGGAAGTGCGTTCTTTTTAAAAATATTTTTATTTATGCATATTTTCATTTATGTACATGTGTCTATGAGTGTATGACATGTGTGAGGATGCTCAGAGGCCAGGAGAGGGCAATAGATCACCTGGAGGAGCTGGAGTTATAGGTAATTGTGAACTGCCTGATATCTGAGCCGGAAACTAAACCAAACTAGGGTCCTCTGCAAGAACAGCAAGTGCTTCTAACAGCTGAGCCATCTTTCCAGCATCCTAGAAACACACTGTTAATGAACAGTGTAAGCACTTGCTCTTTATTCTGAGTATCAAGTTCTATTTCTCTTTAAAATGTATTCCAAAAATAACACAATTCATGGGAGGCAAGGTTGGAGGGATTACTATAATTCTGAGACCTGGGCTATGTAGCCAGATCTTGTCTTTAAAAAAAAAAACAAGGCCGGGCGGTGGTGGCGCACGCCTTTAATCCCAGCACTCAGGAGGCAGAGCCAGGCGGATCTCTGTGAGTTCGAGGCCAGCCTGGGCTACCAAGTGAGTTCCAGGAGAGGCGCAAAGCTACACAGAGAAAAACCAAAAAAAAAAAACCAAAAACAAAAACAACCCCACTATATTGCTAAGCAAAAAAGAGAAAGAAATCCACCAGCTCCTCAACCATCTATAGTTAAAAACAATGAGCAACACGGTACACACAGCCTTCTTACACCTAAACGCCTAATGTGTGCAACTACATACATTCTCCAGTATCTTTTCTCACTAGTATGATGACAGGACCACTTCGACATGTTCTATGTTAGCATGCAAACCTGTCTTGGGAACTGAGTCCAGTGTTTCTGTGTGACACAGTCTGAAAGAGCCTCTGTCCACCTTTCCTACTGACTTCCTGAGACTATCTCCCAGAAGCACAGCTGCTTCAGTGTTGGTTATATTCACTTTTTTGAAGTTCTTGATTTGTTGTCACCCTGGTGAGATTGCTCAGAGGGTAAAAGCACTTGCTGCCAAACCTGATGACTGAGTTCTATTCCTGGGTCCCAAATGGTGGAAGGAAGAGGAGTAACTTCAAAAGTTATTCTCTAAACACACACACACACACACACACACACACACACACACACACACACACACACACAGATGGGATGGAGTGGGGTGGAGATAAAAAACTTACCAGCAGTGCCTACTTTTTTACTCTCATTGACTATTTGTTTAACTCTTGGCAGTTTTTTGGCACAGGGTTTCTTTGTGTGGCTTTGGCTGTCCTGGATCTCGCTCTGAAGACCAGGCTGGCCTTGAACTCACAGATCCGCCTGCCTCTGCCTCCCAAATGCTGGTATTAAAAGCCTGGACCACCACTGCCCGGCTGGCAGCACTTTTTTTTTTTTGGTTTTTGGAGACAGGGTTTCTCTGTGTAGCTTTGTGCCTTTCCTGGAACTCACTTGGCAGTCCAGGCTGGCCTCGAACTCACAGAGATCCACCTGCCTCTGCCTCCCGAGTGCTGGGATTAAAGGCGTGAGCCACCACCGCCCGGCTGGCAGCACTTTTATTAATCTTAATTTTGTCTATCCTGTGTATACTTTTTCTAAAAAAAATTATTTTTTGACAATTTCATACATGTCTATAGATTTTTAATTTTTTTTAAACTTTTATTTTGTGTGTGTGCATGCACATATATATGTATGCATATACACACACACACACACACACACACACACACACACACACACACATACACACTATGGTGCACATGTGAAAGCCAAGGACAATTTGTAGAAATCAGTTCTCTTCTACCCTGTGGGTCTTAGAGGTGGGACTCGGGTCATTAGGATTGGCAGCAGGTGCCTTTACCCGCTGGGCCATCTCACCAGCTCTTTTGTTTACAGCTTTTGAAGGCATACATAGGCTGAGTTTATAGTGCAGTGGTTCATCTTCAGCATGACAAAATTCACAAGTAAACTAAGGTGCAAATGTCTATAATTGCTTACTTTGGCTTCTGTATTAACTACTTTACATACTGCTGGGACCAAATACCTTATAAAGGAAGGGTTTTAAAGTACAGTCCATGTATCTTTGTGGTATGACTGAGCATTCCTTGGGTATATGCCCAAGAGTGGTATGGCTGGGTCTTGAGGTAGATTGATTCCCAATTTTCAGAGAAACCACCATATTGATTTCCACAGTGGTTGTACAAGTTTGCACTCCCACCAACAGTGGAGGAGTGTTCCCTTTGCTCCGCATCCTCTCCAACATTGACTGTCATTAGTGTTTTTGATCACAGCCATTCTGACAGGAGTAAGGTGGTATCTCAGAGTCATTTTGATTTGCATTTCTCTGATGACTAAGGATGTTCAGCATTTCCTTAAATGTCTTTCAGCCATTTGAGATTCTTCTTTTGAGAATTCTGTTTAGCTCTATAGCCCCTTTTTTAATTGGATTGTTCAGTATTTTGATGTCTAATTTTTTGAGTTTTTTATATACTTTGGATACCACAAAGATACATGCTCAACTATGTTCATAGCAACATTACTCGTAATAGCCAGAACCTGGAAACAACCTAGATGCCTGTCAACTGAAGAATGGATTAAGAAAATGTGGTACATAAATACAATGGAGTACTACTCAACAGAGAAAAACAATGACAGCATGAAATTTGCAGGTAAATGAATGGAACTAGAAAAATATCATCCTGAGTGAGGTAACCCAGACTCAGAAGGACAAACAAGGTATGCACTCACTCATAAGTGGATACCAGATATAAAGCAAAGGACAATCAAACTGCAATCCACAGATCCAGGGAAGCTACCAAGAAGGGGGGACCCTAGGATGAATGTGGCTTATAATAAGTTTTGGTTTTACCCAATCACTGGGCAAGCTTAATGAAACATTTCACTATTAGGATAAGAATTTGTACTATATCAAGCTGATGAAAGAAAATGCTGGCCATACTTTCAGGAGGGGAGGCTAAAATCTTTTTAGATTATGGATTAGCCTATAGAAAAATGTCTGCCATAAATCAAACAGTGAAGGGGAAGATTAATAGGAATCTCACACATCTTAAGTAAAACATAGCTCTCTGAACAGATCAAATAAATAAATAAATGTTTGAAAAAAGAAGTACAGTCCATCTTGGGGAAGGCATGGTGACAAGTAGTAAGGAGCTAATCACACTGCACTACAGTCAAGAAGTAGTGAGTAATGAATGCTGATGCTCAGTTTTCTTTCCCCTTTTTATGATTCAGTCCTGAACCCTAGCCCATGGGATAGTGCTATGCACATTCAGGGTGGGTCTTCCCACCTCACTTAGCCCAGGTTGTGCTGGGCTGTCGTTCCCAAGGCCTTAGTTGGTAGCTGTTTATAACAAGCAGTTATTTCTGCCCACCATACAGAAACCATCCAGAGAAGCAGAGCAGTTTTCTAAAAAAATCTACCCTTGTCCAAAATAAATAAATAAATCCTGTACACATGATTGTATGGATAAAAAGGCAGTAAAAGAAAAACTGTGGTGCAGAGCAAGGTAGAACACAGTAATTCCAAGATACACTTGTTCATGGAGTGGGAATAGAGATCAAGCACAACATTGGTTGTGTTGGCTTTTGATTTTATGACAGACCCATCTTGGGACTCATCAAAGGTTTCTGGCTCATAGAACCACAGCCTTTTGGTTCAATCTGGCTTCAAATCAGTGTTCTGTTGGAACCTCCAGTTCACTCCTGCATGGTCTGAGAAGCCCCATTCCTGTCTCTCCAAACCCCACCCACACAGAGAATCTCCAAACAAGGGGGAAGGCACCAAAAAGCCCAGTTTTGCATTCTTGGCAGCTACTGCAGCTCCTCCTCTGAAGTTGCCAGCTGGCTAAAGTGGTCAGCTTTTGACCATACTTGGGCACAAACCCAGCTTGTGACTGACACATCATCACCCCTCACCTATAACCTATATAAATTCCCTGCTTTAGTTTGGGCATATGGCTTCTCCAGCTTCCATCTCTGGGACTGGAGAACCCGGCAGGGAGTTACTTTGCTTAAATAAACTTGTTATACTTTTTCAATTTGGTTTGATCTGGCTTACTGCATCAATGGAGATACCTATTATGGGTGGGGGTGTGTGTGTGTGCAGAAAACCTTTTAGTAAGGGTAGAAGACAGTCCTTTATTCTTTTCTTCTTTCTCCAGTGCTGGGGATAGAACCCAGGGCCTTACACACAAAGGCAACACTCTACCACTGA